CACTATGCTGTTGATGAGTCAAAACACTATGCTATGAGTCAGCAACTTGAGTCGGTTTTGACTCATAGCTATCCTGTACAGGGTTTCCAAGGAGCAGCTGGTGATTTTGAATGACTGACCTTGTGGTCCAGAGCATATCCTACAGCACCACACCAGGACTCCAGAGCACTTTTATTCTGTAACACTTGTGGTCTCCGTGAGCTAGAATTCACTTGATGGCAGCAAGTATGCCTGTGGCTGTGATCCTGTTTCAACGTAGTTTTTGCTGTTGTTGTTGTTAAGTTAGTGTGGGATATGTCTTACACTTAAAAAATTCTGAGTTACATAAAGAATAGCATAGACTTAGAGACTGCTCTAACTTTCGGTGGTTTCTTAGAGCTTGAAGAATAAAATCCCAAACCCTTATCATGGTCTATAGCATTCTATATCATGTGCCTCCCTAGTCTCTGCAATCTGTCTCCTCTTCAACCTTCAGATCCTACTAAGCGTCCTCTTTCTCACCTTTGCATATGCAGTTCTTGCTGCTTGGAAAGTGCTTCTTGTTTTTCCCTAGAATGGTTCCTTCCCATTCTGCAATGCTGTTTCCTCAGGCATTTCCTATTTGCTTAACTATTACTTCAATGACATGCTTTGTCTAGTCACATGTCTGAAGCAATTTCTTCTTCATAATACTTATAGTATGAATATTTTACAGTCTGAAAATTTTATTTATTATTATTTGTTCCTTCTCCAGAACACAAGTTCTATGAGAGCAGTATTTTTTGTTTTATAAATTTATATAGCCTTTGTATTTAGTTGTTGTTATTAAGTGCCATCAAGTTGGTTTAGATCCATAGTGACCCTGTATAGGGTTTCTGAGGAGTGGTGAGCTTCAACCGTCAGCCTTGCAGTTCAAACCAACTTTGCAGTCCAGCACATTAACCCACAGTGCCACACCAGGACTCCAGGTTTTAAATGAGTGTTTGTTGACTAAATACATGAATGAATGAACATGAAACATAGGCATGAGAAGGCATATTGTTTAGAATATTGGCAATGATAAACCACTTGTGAGAAATTAATAATAGCTTTAGTCAAATATCAAAAGAATGGTATATATATGAAAATTCACTTTATAGTTCAATACAGCTCTGTAAGAACCAGAGGGGAAGAATGTGCTACATAAGGATAAAAAAGGTCATCACTGTTGTAGTTCAAACAATAACTATCCATGAATATAATATTGTTACATTTATTCTGGAATCAGCATTAGAAATCCATGCAGAATACAGTGATGGTATGGATGAATGAATGATCTACTTGAAAGCTTGGAGAGCTGAACATTAATAAGGAAGACTGAAGAAAAAGTAATGCATTTGAATTATGATGTTGGCTAAGAATATTGACTCCCAGAAGAATGGGCAAATCTGTCTTGGAAGAAATACAACCAAAATGCTTGTAAGATGTGATAATGGTGAGACTTTGTCTCACTTACTTTGGACATGAAATCAGGAGGTATCAGTCCTTAGAGAAAGAAGGACATCATGCTTGGTAAAGTGGTGGTGGTGGTGGTTTTGTGCCATGGATTTTGTTCTGATTCATAGTGAGATTTCACCTCAGCTATAGCATTTATAGATGCCCTCTGAAGCAGTAAGGGGTCCTGGTGTGGTGCTGTAGGATAACTGCTGGACTGCTAACCACAAGGCTGGCATCTCAAGCCCACCAGCCACTCCTTGGAAGCCCTATCAGGGTGTCTGTGAGTCAGAAGCAACTTGATGGCAGTTAACAACAACAACAACGAGGCTACAAGGTACAACAATTCTACAATGGTAGAATTCTCACCTTTCATGAAGAAAACCTGGAGTCTTGGTGTGGTGCTGTAGGATAAGCACTGGACTGCCAGGTTGGTTTAAACTGCAAAGTCAGTGGTTCAAACTCATCAGCCACTCCACGGAAATCCTACACAGGATAGCTATGAGTCAGAATCAACTCAACAGCACTTAACAACAACAACAACAATGCAGAAGACCTGGGTTTGATTCCTGGACAATGCCCCTCATGTGCCGTCATCACCACCTTCAGTGGAAGCTTGTGTGTTGCTTTGATACTTAACATGTTTCATTGGAGCTTCTAGACTAAACACAGACTAAGAGAAAACACCTGGCAATCTGCTTCTGAAAATCAGCCAGTAAAATCCCTGTGAATCACAGTGGTCTGATCTGTAACCCATCCTGGGAACATGCAGGACTAGGTGACATTTGGTTCCTTGTGCACGGGGTTGCTATGGGTTTGAGACAGACTGGACAGTAGCATCTAACAGCAATAATAATATTGTTTGTTAAATGTTATGCAGGACATCTCTTGTTTTTTACTGTTGTTGTTGTTAAGTGCCGTTGAGTAGATTCCGACCCATAGTTTCTGAGGAGTGGCCGATGAGCTTGAACTGCTGACCTTTCAGCTCAAATCAACTTTTCAGTCCAGCACATTAACCCACAGCACCACACCAGGACTCAGTTTTTACTGTAGGACCCCAATTTAAGCTCCACAAAGGGTCTGACTCAGTTCATTTCTGCAGCATCTCCTTGATGACTTCTTTATTCCGTAGGCAGTGTTATCCGTGGAAAGAACATGGGCTGGATTTGGAGTCAAATGGACCCCGTTTCAGTACTTACTAACACTGTGATTTGGGCAGGTTTCTTACCCTCTTTGTATTTAAGTTTTATGAATTCATCATATGGGCATAAAAAATGGCACCTTACATGGTTCTTGTGTGGCATAATAGAAGTAACAACTATAAAGTATCTGTTATAACGGTCATGTTTTCAGTGTTGGCTCTCTTCCCTTTCCCTGACCGCCAGCTCTTACTTGCTACCTGAACACTGGTTTACCAAGGTGAATTATCATTATGCTTTTGCAAGGGTCAGAAGTACTTTGTACATATTCAAGAAGGACACAGATAGGCTTTAGTAAGGTAAAAAGAGGATTATTCTCCCACATGGTATTACTTGTTTAGAAGGATATAGCAATGTCCTAGGGCATTAGCATTCAGCATCCTACAAGCCCTAATCCCTCTTAGAGCAAAATAGTGAGAGAATTAAAAGCCACCATTATTGCATTTTGGGTCTTCGGCGGCCAAATTTCTGATTTCTTTTTAGCCTAGGGATGCGGCCTGGGTTATATTTGGATGTTTACTGTGGATAAGCTACTTAGGGATAGGAGCTGGGATTTAGTTGTCTTATATTCTAGGACTCACCACAGAACCTGGAACTCCTTAGATAGTCAAATAAATGTATTTTGACCAAATAATTGTTTTATTGAATGCAGTTGCATGAAAGAATGAAAGTCCGATTATTTTACATCCAAAAAGAATACTTTGGTTGTTCAGTATTTGCTGGGAGCAGATGTAACTGCTGATGTACAGTGACCATGCTTTATGCACTCTTTCTTGTGGTAGGAAGGGAGAGTCTGTATTTGGTTAGATAAAGGCAATGAGGTCATCTGTCCTTTATACACTTCTCTCTTGGATGTATTGTCTCTCTTCTTTTCTTCTCTAGACTGTAAACTCCTTGAGGACAGGTACTATGCCTTATGTTTGGCATCACCGTATACAATCATTCAGTGATTATGATACCCATATTCAGTATATATTGGTTGAATGGATGCATAAAATGGCAAAGATAACTTGAAAAGAAGTAAATATTTTTGGACGTTTATCTGATTTTAGAAATGAAGCTTCTTAGCTTTGTCCTGTCTCGTCTGTTCTGATTTATACGTCTATAACTCCGTTCCATTGAGCCTACTTTTGGATTTATTATTTTTTAACCTTATCCTCATAAATGCTACATGATTTGTGGGATAGCATTTAGGCTTTAAATTTAAACAGACCTGGATTCAAGTCCTAAATCTATAACTTGCTGTGTGACCTTGGAAGGTTGGTAACTTCCAGGGAGCCTGTTTCCTTAACTGTGAAGGTGAGTGATAATGCCACCTACCTGGCAGAGATGTTTGGAGAATTGATTGGGTTGATGCATGTAAAGTACTTATTCACAGTAGGAGGTCTATAAGTAGCAGTGCTTCTACCATCCTAATTGCCACTGTCTTTCCTTTTTTCCTATTTAATCTATGTATTTCTTTCTTTTCCTATCTGAAATGTATTTTCTAATCCTGACTGTCTATTATCTGCCATTGGACTGCTGGGAGTTGCGGGGGAATGGAATACTGTGAACTATCCAAATCTCATTTCATTAGGGACTTTATCATATCACTTTGGACAGTGATAAAAGCCTCTGTAAGAATAACCATTATCTGCTCCATTAAAATAATAAAAGGACAAATGTGAGTTTTCAGAAAGGCTCCCTAAATTAAAGCAAAGACCTGGAGAGTTAAATGACATGTGAAGAATCTAAGGACATAGCATATATTTTAATTTATGATTTTTATTGTACCTCTTGCCATTTATTACAATAAATTCTACAAGATTGCTCTCCCAACAGGAGTATTATCCCTACTATACTTAAGGACTGTTTTACCAGTATATTTTCTAGAAATAATTGAGTTTGCCGGAACAAACAATTCAGCTCAATATTTTTCGTCTCCCTCTAACACAAATGTATTTCATTCCTATAAATCTGAGTGACATCAGTCAGGAAAATTATACATCTTTGTTTTCCACAGGGTGTATGAGCTATTAAGTCATGTGATGTTTATGGTAGATCATGTTTTCTGTTTGGCAAGATAATTTGAATGATTGAAAACAATATTTTTGAACACTTAATACTGAATAAACAATGGGAAAGCAGAATTGAAGCAAAATGTTCCTTACAATAAATACCATAAATAAAATATTCTGTTGTGATTCAAGTACACATTCACATATAAAACATATCATCTTATATTATGCATACATGGTTCATATATACATATATATTTCTCTCATATAAGTATATATTTATATCACTTAGTCTTTTCATTAGAACTGCTCGTAATATGTGTATGTTTTTCCATTCATTTCAGCCTCAAATATGTGGATGTTTTCTTGGCTTTGTGCCATTTTAATGATGCTGTTTATTGCTGGTATGGATGCAATCTCAAAGACCACACCACGTGCGAAGTTTACAAAGCAGTCTGAAGGAAAAGAGATGCCAAAAGTTCTAAAGCCATCCAGTGGTCCACCTCTGAAAGAAGATGGCATCTCCTTCACTGAAATGGCTGAACGGGAAGAACCAACCAAAGAACCATTGGCCCTGGATTCTGCCTTTGGTACTGCCACTGTCTTCCCTTTTAAAAACTTCACTCTTGATACAGCTGACTTTGTTCTGAATTGTTGTGATTGTTGCTTGCCTATACCAGGACTGAAAGGAGAACCTGGGAAGACTGGAAAACCAGGTATGTGAAGATGTGTATTTCTCACCTGTACATATTTCATGTTGAGGTGTAGGTTGGAGGGTAAAATATGCCTAAGTGTTTCTACATTGTTCTATGAATGGTGAAAAAGCTAGGTGTAACATTGTGACAGCAAATGCAAGTGGGTGCTGTCCTGTTCAATATGGTAGCCACTAGCCACAAGTGTGGTTAAGCGCTCAGTTGCTAACTGGAAGTTTGGCAGTTCGAACCCACCTGCTGCTCTGTGGAAGATATGGCAGTTGGCTTTCGTAAAGATTACAGCCATGGAAGCATCCTGGTGGCAGCTCTCTCTCCTATAGGGTTTCTACGAGTTGGAATTGACTCAAAAGCAATAGGTTTGGATGTTACTTTAGCCACATATGTGTCTATTAATATTACAATCAAGATTTAATAGGATTAAAAATTGAGTCCATCAATCACACTATTAACATTTCAAGAGCTCAGTAACTACACATGGCAGTGGCTACTGTATTGGGTAGCACAGGTATACACCATTCTTTCCATTCTGCAGAAAGTTCCATTGCACAGTGCTGGGTCTCAGAACAAAGACTGAAACTACCAACCTCAGCACTGGTGTTCTTCAAGCTACATATATTCATGACTTGTATATTTTTTCCCCATTAGTGGCTGATTTTAAAAGGGTAAATGAAAATTCTATTCTCTAATAAGGATTTATGTTGACTGATAGATATTTGGAGTGCTATTTGTAGTTGGGATTAGAAATGGGATGCCTGTGAGGTAGAGAATACAGAATTCAGCTTGCTTCTCATTGAAATTCTGAGACAACACTATATCTTGCCCAGCAATTTTCTCTCCATTAAAAGCCATGGTTTAGCATTTCAAAATTTCGAACATCTTTAATATATGCAGAATGAACATACTGTTGGTTTTACTGTGATACACATCAACTTTTCCATGTTATATAAAAGAAGATGCAAAGTAAGATCAGAGTGTCAACTTCAAATTTACTATTTCCAGAAAAAGAATTCATATAGCTGTTTTGTTTTGCTTGAAAAGTTTAAAGTTATAAAACTAGTGATTATGTATCCTCATAAAAGGCCTGCACAGCATGTTCATTCACTCACACTGTGAAGGCCTTTTAGGAAAGGTGCTGAATATATATACAGAACTAGATTAAAGGGTGAACTCCTGGTGTGGCGCTGTAGGATCAGCATTGGGCTGCAAACCATAAGGTAAGCAGTTCAAATCCACCAGCTGCTCTTTGGAAACTCTACACAGGGTCGCTATGGGTTGGAACTGACTCAATGGCACTTAGCAACAACAACAGATTAAAGGGTGAGGGAGCTGGACAGTGGTCCGGAGCACCATGCTTTCAGGAGTGCTAAAGCATTATGGGAAATGTTACTGAAATTGAGAAAACTATACATATTTACCAGAACTTCTCTTAAGAAAAGTGTCATATCTGGTTGACAAGCTGCTTGGGATGTGAGGTGAAAATCTCAATATCACTATCAAGTAAACAGTGTTATTGTTGTTAAATACCATCGAGTCGGTTCCAACCCATAGCGACCCTGTATAGGGTTTCTGAGGAGCAGCTGGTGAGCTTGAACTGCCGACCTTGCAGTTCAAATGACTTTGCAGTCTGGCACACCTACCCACAGTGCACAACATAGCTGGTTATTAAACTGTCTTCTAAATACAGTGGGATTGGTAACATCGGGGCTTGGTTTACCCAAGGGTGAATTTGGCTGGGTTGTTCTCAGAGTTCAGTCTCTCCCTTAAATATATGTGAGAAATATTTTTTTAAATTGTCATGTTGTTAGCTTGCCTGCAGTGCTATATATCTCTACATATCTTAGAGTGACTATATCCCTATATATTTCAAAAACAGGATTTTTTTTTCATATCCATCTAAAAGTATTACACATGTAGGACCAGCAATACATCACAATACCTGCAAAAATAAAACCATTCTATAGGGTACCAAAAAGAAATAATCGAAGTTCAGCCATTTCAAGAGGTAGCATATGATCAAGAACCTATGGTAATGAACGAAGAAGTCCAAACTGCACTGAAGGCATTGGTGAAAAACAAGCCTTCAGGAATTGATGGACATAAACTGAAATCTCTCAACAAACTGATGCAGGTGCTTACTCATCTATGGCAAGAATTTTTGAAGACAGCTACCTGGCCGAACAATTGGAAGTAATCCATATTTGTGCTCATTCCAAAGAGAGGTGACCAAACAGCATGTAGAAATCATCTAACAATACCACATGCAAATAAAATGTTACTGCAGATAATTTAAAAATGGTTTCAACAGTACATTGACAAGTTGCTGCCAGATATTCAAGCCAGATTTGGAAGAGGACTTGGAACTAGGGATATTATTGCTGATGTCAAATGGATCTTGACTGAAAGCAGAGAATAGCATAAAGATGTTTACTTGTGCTTTATTGACTATGCAAAGGCTTTCTACGGCATGGATCATGACAAACTATGGATAATGTAAGAAAGAACAGATATTCCAGAAAACTTAATTGTGCTCATGAAGAACCTGCACATAGACCAACAGGCTGTCATTAGAACAGAACAAGGGGATACTGCATGGTTTAAAATCAGGAAAGGTGTGTGTCAGGGTTGTAACCTTTCTCCATACTCACTCAATCTGTATTGCTGGCCAAATAATCTGAGGAGCTGCATTATATGAAGAAGAATGTGGCATCAGGATTGGAGGAAGATTCCTTAACAACCTGGAATATGCAGATTAAAGTAAAGAGAAGATCAAATCCAACAGCCTTCAGTATGGATCATATCTCAATGTGAGGAAAACAAAAATCCTCACAACTGGACCAATAAATAATATGATAATAAATGGAGAAAAGATTGAAGTTATCAATTCCACAATTAACATTCATAGAAGTAGCAGTCAAGAGATAAAGTGACGTATTGCAATAGGCAAATCTGTTGCACAAGAGCTCTTTAAAGTGTTCAATAGCAAAGATATCAGTTTGAGGACTAAGGTGTGCCTGACCCAAGCCATGATACTTTCAAGTAGCCTCATTTGCATGTGGATATTGGACAATGAATAAGGAAGACCTTAGAAGAATTGATGCATTTGAATTATGGGGTTGGTGAAGAATAATGAAAGTGTCATAGACTACCATAAGAACAAACTAATATGTGTTGGCGGAAGTACAACCAGAATGCTCTGTAGAGGCCAGGATATGAGACTTACTCTCTAATACTTTGGACATTGTTATAAGGAAGGACCAGTTCTTGGCAAAGGACATTGTGATTGGTAAAGTGGAGGAGCAGTGAGAAAGAGGAAGACTCCGAAATGGATAGATTAACACAGTGGCACCAGCAATGGATTTAAGCTCAATAACAGTTTGAGTATGGTGCAGGACTAGGCTGTGTTTAGTTCTGTTAGTCATAGGGTTGCTTTTAGTAGGAAATGACTCAAGATACCTAACAACAGCAACAATAATAACAAATTGGGTCACCTTTCTTTGGAATGGATGCAATTAATGAATCTCTTCCAATCTACCTGGATAGCTATCTCCATATTTCTTGGCATGGGCTAGCACTAGTGAGTGATACAAGGTATCAGTTTGTGAAAACATTTCCACTGATATTCTATCAGTAACTGGAGTCTTGCTTCTCACTCATGTCTTCAGTGAAATTTGGACTTCTTCCTTCAGTACCATGAAATCTTGATCATATGCTACCTCCTGAAATGGCTATCAACCAGATAATTTTGGGATAGTTACTCTGTATTCCTTCTTTTTTTAATGCTTCCTGAATATTTCAATATTCTGCCCATAGAATCCTTCAGCAATGTATGTTGAGGCTTGATTTTTATTATTGTTGTTGTTTTCTAGTTCTTTCAGCTTGAGAAAAGCCAAGCCTGTTCTACCCCTTTGGTTTTTTAGCTTCAAGTCTTTGCACATTTCATTGTAATATTGTGTATTGTTGAGCTGTCCTTTGGGATTTCAGTTAGCTCTTTTACTTCATAAAAAACAAACCTACTCAAATGCAACTATTTTCCTTCTTTTTTAAAAAAATCACTTTTCAGTCTTTGGACACATGAATAGGGTCACACATATTATATATGCACGCATGCATACATATGTACAAGTTGCATACATCACCCTTTTCATTATCTGCTTTTGAAAGGCATGAATCTGTTTTTATAGAGCTTTGGAATGAGAGTGATTTGAAATATTCAGATATATCTAATAACTGGCACAAGTAAATTTCCATTTCTTTAGTTAAGTTATAAAAATAACTGCCTTTTATATGCCATGACCCTAGGTGGCACAAATTTTTAATACACTCTTCTGTTAACTGAGAGATTAGATATTTTAGTTTACTTATACATGTCAGGGAATAAATCAGTTGGAATTTCCTTCTAAAAAATCAATCTTTGAGGAATCTTACCGAGCACAGTTCTATACTTGACACACCTGGGGAAGACATGAGTGGGACTGACTGGGTGAAACTTGACTAGGCTTTGTGCTATGAACTGTTAGGTACTTTTTAGTATTTCAAATCATTATACAAAATGTGAAAAATACTGTTATATTCCACCAAGGACTTTATAGTATTTCAGAGTTTAGGTTATCCTAAAGATTGCTTCCCAATGTAAAGAAAACCAAAATCCTCACCACTGGACCAATAAACGATATTCTTATCAACGGAGAAAAGATTGAAGTTGTCAAGGACTTCATTCTTCTTGGATCAACTATTAACACTCATGGAAGCAACAGTCAAGAAATCAAACAACGTATTGCATTAGGCAAATCTGCTGCACAAGGCATTTTTAAAGTGTTCAAGAGCAAAGATGTCAGCTTGAGGACTTATAAGGTACGCCTGACCCAAACCATGATATTATCAATATCCTCATATGTGTGTGAAAGCTGGACAGTGAATAAAGTAGACCGTAGAATAATTGATGCTTTTGAGTTATGGTGTTGGAGAAAAATATTAAAAATGCCATGGGCTGCCCATAGAACCAACAGATCTGTGTGGGAAGAAGTGCAGCCAGAGTGCTCCTTGGAGGCCAGGATGGCCAAACTTTGTCTCTCATACTTCGGACATATTGTCAGGAGGCACCAGTCATGGGAGAAGGATGTAATATTTGGTAAGGTGGAAGGTCAGAGAAAAAGAGGAAGACCCCCAAAGAGAAAGATTGGCAATATGGCAACATCAATGGGTTCAAGCATGGCAACAATAGTGAGGTTAGCCCAGAACTGGGCAGTGTTTCATTCTGTTGTACATAGGATCACTATGAGTCTGTACTGACTTGATGGCACCTAACAACAACAACAATGATAGAATGTAGAGTCAGATATTGTGTACCTTCAAGGTCCAGTCCTTCTCATCATATTCAACCTTATATTATTTATTCTGATCCAATCCAGGTGAGGAGTCCTAGTGTGGTGCTGTGGGATAAAGTTGTACAAAAAGTTGTTTTGAACCACAAGGTCTGTGGTTCGAACTCACCAGTCACTCCTTGGAAATTCTATACAGGGTTGCTATGAATTGGAATTTACTGGATGGCACTTAACAAGAACCATAATCCAGGAGAACAACTCATCTAGTGTACCAAGCAGCCTCCCAGCTGCTGTGACCTTGCATACAGTTGCTGTTACAACCAGGGCATAGGTACTTATCTTTTTCTTTAAAAGTGTAGCTACATGCCGCATTCATAGGCAATGAGATAGGAAAGACATTTCATAGTGAAATGTAACTGGCTATCTTACTTGTCTGTCTCACCTGCCCCTCTGTTTTCTTTCTTTATTTCTAGACCCATCCCACTTTCTGTTTTATTTATTTATTTTTTAATGTAGATTTTAGCAACTGCATTTGGTTATAGGATTCTGTTATTGTCTTGACCTCCATCACAAGCATTTTATGAGTTTTGTTCCCCCCAAATGCAGTATTCTTCCAAAAAAGGAATTATGTTAAATATATTTTCTCCATTTTAGCAACCTTTATTTCAATAGTTTGAGTGAAACTAAGAGGAAATATTATAATTCCATTGAGTACATTTACATATATGGTCAACTTAGTAAAGCCTGGAGGCTTTACTCCATTATCCTTATCACAGGAGGAGGCAACTCTCCCCAGTCTCATTTCAAGTGCCTTCCAACCTGAGAGGCTGATTTTCTGGCACTGTATGTGACAATATTTGGGTGCTCTTCATCATGTTTCAGTTTTCAATATACTGGTGCTGATTGTTTCACTGCTATTCATAAGATTTTCAGTGACTAAATATTTAGAAGTAGTTTGTCTCTCCTTCTTCCTAGTCTGTCTTCATGTGGAAGCTTAACTGAAACCTGTCCATGGTGGGTGACCTTATTGGTATTTAAAATACCTGTGACATAGCTTCCTTCCAGAATCTCAGCAATACACAAACCACCACAGTGCAGCAAACTGACAGATGAGTAGTGTTTCATTAGGGTAAGAACTGGCCAAATTGTTGATGGCTGTATTCTTAAAACCTAGTAGAATTCTGGGACTTCTCAGGAAAAGCTCTTGAATGAATAAATAGATGGATATGTGGGAAAACCAAAAGTACTATGTAGTGTGTTTTTGCTTCCAGTTTGAAAGTGTGGTCCACATAAGGTGAAATGTCAGTAATCCTTTTGGTCTTGTTTGATATACTGCTACCTTTCTGAATCATGTGATCACTGTCATGGATCCAATGACAAGTACTAATGGGTTCAATTTATTTATTCAGGTTGCAAATCAGACAAAAATATTGCCCTTAGCTCCCTGCAGTAGTTTATTTTGGCATCTATTTTATCATTAGGACATTGACAGTTATTGGTCTCAATAACATGACTGCTTTTTCTTTCCCCTAAAAAATGAATTTCAAAAGAGCATTTTTTCTGCCCTGATGATTTTTATTTACCATTTCAGGTCCTAAGGGAGAGACTGGTGATATGGGGATTCTGGGTCCACCAGGAAACATTGGGCCCCAAGGCCTAAAAGGTCAGAAAGGAGAGAAGGGTATGTAACTACTCACTTTCATGTCAAAAACTCAGGAGAGATATTGCATCACTTTCAGGAAAGCAATTTGCTAAATAAATACTGACTCTTGAAGGTGGGTTAATTATTAAAAATATAAACTATTAGGTAAAGCATATGTGATTTATACTTGATTTTAAAATGTTTACTTCATAGACAGTCAATCAGAAATTTCTAACTCCTCTGGCAATATTATACACATACACACATGTGCTCTCACACAGCTTTCTCACCTCTCCGTTGCCACCTGACTGACCAGCCACTGGGAGCCACAAGCCCCATGAACTCTTCCTCATCACATAAATTATAATTTTTTTTATTATTGGATAGTATTGATGAGAGCAGGCAATTCTATAAAATAGTCAATTTAGGTGGGTAGCTTGCTTACAAGAAGAATTTGACATATCCTTTTGCTCACTCTGGAACCAGAGACAGTATCAAAGATGGGAAGAGAATTGAATGAAAATTGAGGAGATGAAGCTTATAACAGTGACCTTGAAAATGTCACTTTAGCATACTTGGAAACTGAGGGGAATGAACTAGCTATTTATTTTTTACTCTGTCTGCTATTCAAAAGATTTGTAGTTATGAATACTTTCATAGTTCTTTTCCAGTTCAGAAATTTTATAATTCCAGACATATATTCAGTAAAGAGAGCTTACTTTCCCAGGAAATCCCTGATTCTGTAAGTGCTTAAAGTTGTTGAAAGAAGGTTACAGATTCACTGGGACATTTAGAAATTCCTCAGTTAATACTGTTAGCCTGTAGGAATACCATCTATCCATCAACTTAAATGTTTTAGCCTCAGTGTCACATGTCAAAAGACCTAATATCATCTATACATCACCCTCCACATGGCTCAGGAACTGCCTAACTCATTTCTGGTAGAACATTCAGTAAAGTAATTACTCAAAAAAGTGGCTATCGTAAGAGAGAGTTACTTCACACTTGTCAGTTATGCGATTTTCATTCTCGGAAACATTTAATCCTTTTGTGGCTGAATTATGTTAGCAGAAAACTCTGTGAAATAAAGATGATTGATGAACCTCCCTAGTGATTCATACATTTTGGAAGTTAGACTTCTGGAAGTAGAAGAAAAACCAGGAAAGTATCATAAGACAAGGTTCTTAAGAATATGCTTTGATGAAAGATCAAAAGTAGAAATTCATTCAACCAGTCTCTCTCTATCAAGTGGCAACTCTCCTTTCCTTTTACTTCGAGACTTAGCTTGGACTCTTGGCTACATTTGAAAGTTAAAAAAAAATGAGTTAAATTCCTGAATTTTGGGTAATCACTACTTGAGATGAGTACATGCAGTGTGAGCAGTTAAACTCCTTAAATTAATTTGAGAACCCAAATAATTCTGTGAAGTGTAGGTCAGCATTAGAATATTGATAAAGACTGGGGATATGTATGGTTCAACAATCCCAGTCTTGTGAAATTTGTGGGAATCTATTCTCATTACTTCTAATTTGACTCAGGATTTATTTACACCTGGCTTTTTTTGTATTAGATAAAGATAAGTAATATATTTGACAAAGTGCTGCCCACCAATGCTCTTTGTATTGTACACATTTTGAAAATTTTTCATATTTAATTTTTTTTCTATGGAAAAGATGATGATAAAAGTATTTGCTAGGTTTTTCTTGGAGGAAGGTCCTATAAACCTTTGTAAATGAAAAATGTTCCAGAATATGCTCTGTTGTATAAGCCTCTCAGCTATATGAGAAGCTGAATTAATAATAAATAAATGTAATCCTTTAAGTTTGACTGATACTTATGGATGTAGTAGCTCAAAATACCAACTGAAAGGGAAGTGGTCTTCACATCAAGGATCAAACATATCCCCTCTGTACACAGGGTTGATAGGGATGGGCAACTAAGATATTGACTACCTAAAATGGGGTGGGGAGCTATAAAGGCACAAAGTGGCTGGCTTGCAAGTTTTCAAGAGGGAGTTTAATTTCAGAGTGTAGGGGAAGAGAGAATCCCCACTGAATAGTTTTCATCTTGTCTGGATGGGTCTGATGAAAGGAGATGGGGATCAGATTCTTATGATTCAGTAGTGATAAATTGTTATCATGACTTATTGTGATAGTCACAACTGTAAAGGTAAAAGTTTTGTAACATAAAGGGGGGAGCAGTTAATCTTACATTCCTGGTAGTACTGTAGGATAAGCACTGGACTGCTAACCGCAGGGTCAGCAGTTTAAACCTACCAACTGCTCTGCAGAAGAAAGATGAGACTTTTCTGCTCCTGTAAAGATAGAGTTACATCCTTAGAAACGCTGTACACAGTCACTATGAGTCAGAATCGACTTGATGACAGTAGGTTATTTGTTGTTCTTGTTGTTGTTGTTGTATTAATGGATCTCAGTATATTTCCCCCCCACACACACACACTATTTTTCTGTTAAGCCATTTTGATAAGAGAAATATCTTAATGTGATATGGTTGTGAAATGGATGTTGGACATATAATAAATAATTAGCAAATGGAAATTCATCTTGGTGTCATTTTAGGATTTAAAGGAGAACGTGGGGATCAAGGAACAAGTGGGGTTCCAGGATATCCAGGAAAACCTGGAGAGCAAGGTAAAGTATAAAATATATTAATTATGTATAGTCATATGTGCAGTATAGCACGTATTTCTCCTCTTGTCTGTATTTAAAGTTAACAGAGGGTAAGATGAAAATATAAATTACTGTAATGTTTCCAATAATTCAGTGCGCTGACTAGATGCAGTGTAAGCAACACTGCTCTGGGGTTTGCAGAACAGGTAAAGCTGTATGAGCTCTGTTCCTCTTTCTAATTGTCCTTGGGTAGGAAAATGCCAGGATCTTTCTGGGTCTCATTTTTTTTGCCTGTAGGGTTTGGAATTTGGATGGACAATATGTAGATTTGGAAGAATAGTTGGGTTGGGCCCAAATGCAAAGGGTGATGAATATAACGGGCAACAATAGTTCTAGTAATCTGTATTGTCTTTAAAAAAAAATTACAACCAGATACGTGAGGTCTAAATCCAGACTGTTGTTTCTTGTTGTTGTTAAGGGCCGTCTAGTCAGTTCTGACTCATAGTGACCCTTGTCGGTTTTCTAAGGAGTGGTTGGTGAATTTGAACTGTTGACCTTGCAGTACCACACCAGGACTCCTATTGTTTCTTCTTGTTATTGCTGTCAAGTGCTGTGGAGTCAGTTCCAACTTATAGAGATCCTGTATAGGGTTTCCAAGGTGTGGCTGGTGAGTTTGAACCACTGATCTTGTAGTTCAAACTGACCCTTTTTACAGTGTCACACAAGTACTCCAGCATTAATTTTACATCTTGTGAGACGGTAGCATTATATAAACTGCTCAATGTAATAATCTCCTAAGCAAAATATCAAACAAAACCTTTATCATCATGCCAATTTCAATTTAGGGTGACCCCATGTGTTACAGAGTAGCACTTTACTCCATAGGTAGTCTTTATGGGAGCAGGTGGTCAGGACTTTCTTCCAATGTGTCTCTGGATGAGTGTGTGCTTACAACCTTTTGATTACTTGTTGTTATCGTTAAGTGCCGTGACTCATAACGATCCTGTATTGGGTTCCGAGGAGCAGCTGGTGAGTTTGAACTGCTGACTCTGGAGTTCAAACAGATCTTGAGGTTGAGAACTTAGCTGGTGGTGCCACTTAAGTGCAAAACCTTTGTGCTACCAAAGGACTTGAAAGCCTCCTAGGCACAGTCATACTGAGACAGAACAAGGTTTTCAGGTCCCAGGTACAATATTTTGTTTTGATTTTTTTGAGTTCTGTGTCAATAGCATGTCGTGTATACTTCTGTAGGATCCTTTAAGACAATTTTAATTTTCTGTTTCAGGTGGACTTGGTTCTAAGGGGGATAAAGGAGACATTGGACCAGCAGGGATGAAAGGACAAAAAGGCTCCAAGGGAGATGCATGTGTAAATGGTACCAAAGGAGATAAAGGAAATCAAGGGGCACACGGCTCCTCAGGCTTAAACGGAGAGCCTGGGGCCAAGGGAGAGAAAGGGGAGATGGGGGAAAAGGGATGCTGTGGAAATTCTATGGAGAGAGGTGACAAAGGACAAAAAGGAGAGGAAGGCATGAAAGGAGAAAAAGGTAGCAAAGGAGACATTGGAATGGAAGGCAAAAGTGGCACAGATGGCCTGCCTGGGGTCAAAGGTGAAACAGGGGTTAAAGGAGCCAAGGGTGAACTAGGTTCTCCTGGCCTGGAGGGACCAGCTGGGCCAAAAGGTGAACTGGGGAGCAAAGGAGTTCGAGGATCTATTGGAAAGAAGGGCTCCAGGGGCTTTAAAGGTTCCAAGGGCGAGGTGGCTGGAGTTGTTCGATCGGCTTTCAGTGCTACCTTATCAAAGCCATTTCCTCCTCCTAATGCCCCTATCAAATTTGACAATGTCCTCTATAATGACCAAGGAAATTACAGTCCGGTTACTGGAAAATTTAACTGTAGTATTCCAGGGGCATATGTGTTTTCCTATCACATCACTGTGAGGGTTCGCCCTGCTCGGATCAGTCTAGTGGCCAGAAACAGGAAGCAATTCAAGTCCAGAGAAACTCTCTATGGGCAGGAAATAGATCAAACCTCTCTCCTCATCATCCTGAAATTAAGTGCAGGGGATCAAGTCTGGTTGGAAGTTTCAAAAGACTGGAATGGAGTGTATGTGAGTGCTGAGGATGACAGCATTTTTACTGGGTTCCTTTTGTACCCTGAGGAGCCTCCTGGGATTTCACCATAAACTTGTGTCGTGAATACTGCTTTTCCATTGCAATTTATATTTTAAGGCATTATCTTTAAAAAAAAATACTTCTATGTTTTTGAGAGCTCTTATCTATTAGATTTTTTTGTGGTAGATTTTTCCGTTTGGCATTATAATGGCATTTACAATGCCATGTAAATAATTAATAGTATGCGTATACACAAATATGAATGAGATTTGTAGTCAGTGAATATATTCTTACTAAATATCTTCTATAGCTCCTAATATTGTGTATAATTCTGTTTTGTGTGACTCTTAGCTGAATCCTATGATGGTCAGGCATTTCTCCAAAATTTCTGATTCTGTTAAGAGGCTTGCCTTTCAACAAAATGTAACTATGTTAGTCTAATTCAGGAAGAATAAACAGAAATAATGTTAAAGTCTAGTTAACACATATTTAAAGTTTATCAGTGTGGTTGCTTAGTATGTAAATGTATTTTACGGGCTCATATATTGAGTAAAATGCAAAATAAATTTGATAAAGACATTGCTCAGTCACAGAAAAGATCCAGCCATTCATCAAATCATTTTTCTTAGAAACACTGAATGTCTCTGAAAGATTAAAAAATAAAATTAAATCATTATTGATCTAAAATTTCAATCTTTTATGGCAGACAATTTGATTAGGATCAGTTCTTTGGCTTCATTATCATAGTCTCTGAAATAATTAATTCCAGTCACTTAGTGATAACATTGCTGAAATAGTTGGGGGTTTGGGAATTCACATGCGATGTGAATGTGTAATAACTATTAATATTTGATAATTCAGTAGCTTCATTTTTTAACAAAGCAAATTTATTGAATCCAAATTGAATTTGCTTCAAGGAAGGCACATGGTTAGGGAGATTTGTGAGTAAAGTCAGGGAGTGGGTGGAGGGGAACTTCCTGGCCTTGCCTTTCCAACTTTGACAAACATCATTCATCTTCGAGAGTCTCATTCATTTATTAGAACTGTAGTATTCTAACTGTGTTCAAAGGAGAACCCTTTCTAGAAGTTGCTGTGGATTTCTAGAAAAAATAGTGAATTCTGTGATCAAGCAAATGTTTGCAATAGCTTATAATTTATCTCCCTCTTGGAAATCCATAAAGCACATCAATATGCTGTCTAACGTCCCCATAGAAAAGAAATTTGCTTAATTTTGTTTTATCCAGTGATTTGAATTTATTCTGAGTATAGAACTCATCAATGAACATCCTTTGGAAGAGGGTTCTATAAGTTTAACAATTTTGGAAATGTTATAATAGTTTTCTATCCAAGAATTGCTCAGCAGGCTCAAGTAACATTAACTACAATTTAGTGTCCTTGACATTACCCCTTTCCTTCAGCAATTTTTACTGTTTAGATTATAATATTGTTTTAGTTGTGGCTGTGCTTATATTTTTCAGAGGGAAAATAAGATAATCTGTAAGTAATTAGAAAATGTTCACATGTAGATTTTTCTTTCTTTTCCAATTTGAATTGTTGTTAGTGCTGTCTAGTCAGTTGCAACTCATAGCAGTGCTGTATAGGGTTTCCAAGGAGCTGCTGGTGGGTCTGAACCACTGACCTTGTGAATCAAACCAGCTTTCTAGTTCAAACCTACCTTTTGGTTCAAACCAACCTTGCAGTCCAGTGCATTATCCTGCAGAGCCACATCAGGACTCCTTTCCAATTTGAATACTACATAGTGAAAAGATTCTAGAACTTAGAATTTGTATGTCTGTCTATTTGTATGTTCTTATAGTGTGGCACTGGACTGCAATGTTGGTTTGAACCACAAGGTTGGCAGTTCAAGCTCACCAACAGCGCCTTGGAAACTATATACTGGGTCACTAAGGGTCAGAACCAACTTGACGGCACTTAACAACAACAACAACAACAGAGTGGTGCTGTGGGTTGATACGCTGGACTGCAAGGTCGGTTTGAACTGTAAGATTGGCAAGTCAAGATCACCACATGTTCCTCAGAACCCCTACAAGTTGGAACTGACTCTGACATTTAACAACAACAATAATAGATGCATTTAAAAAAAAAAAAAATTATTTATGCTTTCTTCATTGGGTTTGAAAGATCTGGGGAGGCTGGGAGTAAAGTAAGTTAGGAAGATGGCTGAGAAACCTACAGAAATAATGTGATATAAAAGGCAGTGAGGTAGAGAACCAGTTAGGGAGGAGCAACTCATATGTAGAATGTATGACACCCAGTGGTGTCTTACATGTGTGTTTGTGTTAAGCGTTCATATAAAGTCTAAAGTTAGAGCTTGGGTTTATGATCCAAGGTTGATAGTTAATAATGAGCATTTTCCCAGGGTTTCCAAAACAGGGAAACAGTCTCTGGGAATAACTTTGGAAGGATGAATTCTAGGTTCTTCATACCGCCCTGTGCTAGGATGGTGGAGCAGTGGCAACGCAGACTAGCGTCTTCTTTCAACCCTACACTATTCCTATCTTATTAAAGTAGAAAAATTAAGAGTCCAATGTTTCCATCTATAATGGGTTGAATTGTGTCCCCCCAAAAATATGTTAAAATTCTAACCCCCAGCTTCTGTGAATGTGATCTTGTTTGGAAATAGAGTTTTTGAAGATGTTATCAGCTAACATCAGGTCACACCTGAGTAGAGTAGGTCCTAACCAATATGAGTCGTGTCCTTACAAAAAGATGAGAAGAGACACAGAGGGAAGACAGACAACTGAAGACTGATACAAAAATTGGAGTGTTGCAGCTACATGCAAAGAGATACCACGGATTGCCAAGAACTACCAGAAGCCATGAAGAGGTGAGAAAGTATCTCCCTGTAGAGCCACCAGAGAGAGCTTGGCCTTACTAAAGCCTAAAATTCAGGCTTCTAGACCCCAGTATTGAGAGACAATACATTTCTGTTGCTTTTAGCTTTTCACTTTGTGGTATTTTGTTATATAATATTAGGAAATTAATACAAAATCAAAAACATTTCAGTACCACTCTTAATTCTGTTGTTATGTACCATTGAATCAATTTTGACTCCTAGCAACCTTACGTCTTCTATGTTAATGACTACCAAATATACAAACCTCTTCTCTGAATGCCAGATCAATATGTTGTGGCTAACTTGATACCTCAAGCTTAATATGACAGCACCAAGCTTCTGAAATACTCCCAATTTCTCTTCCCATACTATTCCCTAACCCAAGTACTGGCAACTTCTGTCCAGAGACTGTGTGTTGTTTGACTTTTCTCAGAACATCTTTCTGTAGCTTCCTTCAGAATGTATTCTATTCCCTTTATAATCTTACTACTTTTCACATCTCCACTTGCCACTATGCTGGTCAAACCACCCTATTTGTTGGCTTCAATTCTCTTAACACATGAAGTGCCCAGACCAAAATACAAATAAAGCCTAAATTTTGTCTAAATATTTAAATGTTACATATCCTTTGACCTTGAAATATATAGATGTTTTTATATTGAAAAATAAAAATAATACTAATATCTTCATTATAGCTGACAGTAAATATAAGATGACTGTATTACTATTGTGCATGTCTGGATGGTCTATGAATTTGCAGGTGAATAATAACACTAAGACAAGAATTCATGAGTTATATATTTACCTCAAAACTTTTATTTTAAGCTTCATTTTAGCAAAATGACTTACTATATTTTCATAATAAATATTTCCACATGCTTTAAGTTCTATTGTCAATTTGTCATACTCTGGCGGCTTGTGAGTTGCAATGACACTGGAATCCATGCCACTGGTATTTCAAATACCAGAAGGTAACCCCATAGTGGACAGATTTCTATGGAACTTCTAGACTAAGAACAACTAGGAAGAGAGACTTTACAAGCTACAACTGAAAACTTGGCCATTGATAATCTTATGAATAACAGCAAAATACTGTGCAAGAAGATGAGTCCCTCAGGTTGGAAGCCACTAAAAATACAACTGGGGTAAGAGTTTGTTCTTCAAAGAATTGACCTTAATGACATGATAGATTGCAGTGTTTTGGATCTTGTTTGAAGATGTGATGTGCACAACTTAAAATAAGAAATAGATACAAACATCCATACTTGAGAAAATAGAGGATCAGCAAAAAAGAGGCAGAACCTCAATGAAATGGATCGATACACTGGTTGCAACAATAGGCACAAACATAGGAACAATTGTGAGGATGATACAAGACCAGTCTTTTCTTCGGTTGTACATACGGTTGCTATGAGTCAGATCAGTGTTGACAGTACCTACTTACAACAATATTGATAATTTTGTCACATTATACCACCTTTCTTGCATCATTATAGTTCTGAGTACTATTTTTAAGTTAATTTCTATTTGGAGACACTTTTCTTAGCTAAGTTGGTAATGAAATTTAGAAATGAAAAGAATTTTACATATAATTTTCGCATATTGCAAAAGGTTGCATATGATACAATTTCATTATTGTATAAATCATTACAAAATACTTTAATTTCATCTTATAAACTACTATCACTTATATTGCCATTTTCACCATCCCTTAAAACCATATTCAAGAACCTACAGCCATCAAGAATTTTCTGTCTGTATAAATGCAAATTTAAGAGTGTTATGAATTGCTTAATATTTAATAATACCTTTTAACCATGCAATTGTCCTAAGTATCAGGAAAGCAAGAAAATGGATGCTCAACACAGCTGGGATGTAATGCTTATTATCTATGGCATTCATGTTTTCCAAGGAAAGGGGCTTGACAAGTTGCTCTTCTCTCAGCTAAACATGTCCGTTGCTCAAATCCTCTCTACACCCCAAGGCAGTGTCCATCTCCCACATTTGCAGTACAGCCCACTAACCTTGACGGTATTCAGAGAAGGTCACTTTTTATTTATTTTTGAATACAGGTGTAGTGCTGTAGGATAAGCACTGGACTGCTAACCACAAGGTTGGCAGTTCAAACCTCCCAGTTGCTCCTTGGAAACCTTATACAGGGTCCCTATGAGTTGGAACTAGCTTGAAGGCATTAACACAACAACAACAAGGCAA